GGGGCCGGCAAGTCCCGTCAAGACGGTCCATGATGCGGTGACAGTAAGGGTCAGCACGTTGGTGAGATAAGAACAAACCACACTCGCTTGGAGAAGTTGGGTCCACAGTAGCTAATGACGAAACATGTAGGGAAGAGACGGCCGAAAGCTTCTCGAGTGCGGCAGTGGCGGGTTTGTTAAGTGGCTCCGAAGAGAGCGGGCAACGCGAAAGTGCGTCGACGTCTTGATGTTTGTTTCCCGACTTGTATGTAATCGTGAAGTCGTATTCTTGTAAGCGAAGAATCCAGCGGCCAAGGCGGCCGGACAAGTTCTTGATTGTCGAGAGCCAGCACAAGGCGTGATGGACCGTAACCACAGTAAAGTGGCGGCCGTGGAGATAAGGTCGAAATTTTTGTATTGACCATACGACCGCTAGGCACTCCCGTTCGGTAATGGTATAATTCTTTTCGGCAGGGGTCAGTGCACGGCTCGCGTATGCGACGACTTTCTCACGTGAAGATTTGTCTTGCTGTAGGAGAATTCCACCAATGCCTCAACCGCTAGCATCTGTATGCACGAGAGTAGGCGTGGTTTCGTCGAAATGGCAGATGACTGGTTCGGATGTGAGTGCACACTTCAGTTGGGCAAACACCACTTCACATTCAGGAGACCACACAAAGGCGACGCCTGATCAGAGCAACTTGTGCAATGGTGAAGCTATTGAGGCGAAGTCTCGAATGAATCGGTGAAAATAAGAAGCGAGGCTGAGGAAACTGCGCAAATCTTTGGCTTTTTCAGGACGCGGGAAGTGTTGGACAGCGGAAATGTTGCCTGGATCGGGATGAATACCATCCTTGCTTACGATGTGGCCTAACACTTTAATCGTCTTTCTCGCGAAACGGCCCTTCTTGGTGTTCAGCTGAAGGCCTGTGTTTGCAAGGCACGTAAGAACTTCATCCAGTCGTTGCAAGTGCTGAGGGAAAGTTGACGAGAAAATAACGAAATCGTCTAAATAGCACAAGCAAGTCTTCCATTTCAAGCCTCGTAAAACTGTGTCAATCATCCGCTCGAATGTTGCTGGAGCATCGCAAAGGCCGAATGGCATGACGTTAAATTCGTACAGCCCATCTGGTGTTGAAAGCGCTGTCTTTTCTTTGTCATCCTCGTGCATGGGTATTTGCCAGTAACCTGAACGGAGGTCTAGGCTTGAGAAGTATTAGGCACCTTGCAGTGAATCCAAAGCATCGTCTATGCGCGGCATGGGGTAAACATCCTTGTGGGTAATCTTATTAAGTGCTCTGTAGTCCACGCAAAATCGCACGGAGCCATCTTTTTTCCTTACTAAAACAACAGGGGATGACCAAGGACTCGCGGAGGGACGTATAATGTTCCGTTGCAGCATATCGGCTACATTTTGTTCGATGACCTCACGCTCAGACGAAGAGACGCAATATGGTTGACGGCATACGATGGAAGTGCCATCGGTCTGGATACGCTGCCTAATAATAGACGTCTGTCCCAGAGAAGAGGAATGGGCATCAAACAATCTCCTGTGCTTTTGTAGCAAGGCAAGCAACTCATCTGTTTGTGAAGAGGTCAGTTCTGGACTAATAGTCGCAGCAAGAACAGAAACGCTTGATGAACGTCCAATAGAAGGAAGGTCAGAACACGCTGGCATAAACGGGACAACAGAGACAGGTTGAGATTCAGTAACACAAGCCATTGTGGTGCCTTTAGGAATAAGAATTTTCTCAGACGTCTGGTTTGTAGCGTAGAGAAGTCCGGAGCCATTGTGGAACCACGCTAGTTCCTGAAGCAAGGGCTATACCTCTTGCGAGACAGCGTGCAAATGGCTGGACAAACACGTCACCAGAGTCGATCACATTAGAAGTGATGGTAACTATTCGCCGATGACGAGGTGGTAGCTCGGTATCTTCAGCAGCGAGCAAGCGAACGGGCTTGTCATCCGCATACAGGGTATAGTCAGTTTCCATCATGTGAACAACATTTTCTCGACAGCAGATGGAAGCGTTCGCCGTAGACAGAAAATCCCAGCCTAATATAAGCTGGTGGGCACACGAACTCAGCACAACAAATTGCACAAAATGAAGAATACAAGCTATAAAAACGCGAGCGGTGCACATAGCGGCAGGTCTAATGGCGTCCCCTTGAGCAGCGAGCAGTGTAGGTCCTTCATAAAGGGTGGTGACTTTTCGCAGACGTGAGCACAAGGAACGATCAATCACAGACAAACAAGCACCAGTGTCTATTAAAGCGTCCACGTACACACCTTCTATTAAAACAGATATCGTATTGTATGGACGCACTGGAGGAATTTCTGTCTTTTCGTTCGATGCAGCTTTTCCTCCAAAAGCTGCAGAGGTTAGTTTTCCGGGCGTCGGATGGTGAATTGCGAGACAGGTCGCAATGGAGACGTGGAGCGGCGGAGAGGTGAGGGTGAGTGGCGTATAGTAGAGCGGTATGAAGTGGTTGACTCAGATGTCGCAGTTGGGGACGGTGAGTGACGTAGCGGCGGATCATGAGGACGACGTTGGAAAGCGTACCAGCTTGTCCCATCATCCCGTCCGTAGGTGTCGAATCCACGACGCTCGTCCTGCTGACGCTTCCGACAGACACATGCAATGTGGTCCCGATAGCCGCAGTAATAACAGATCGGACGAGGCGGCCGCCATGGTGGGTGAAAGGGCTGGCTAGGCGCACTCGGAGTTAACGAAGCCAGTGGGACAGGCGTCGAGTGTGCAGGAATCGGTTGTACGACGGGTGGTGAGCCAGCGAGGACTTGTGCGTACGTCGGCTGGAGTCGAGGTACTGGACAGTCTACATACGCTGGCCCGGTCATGGACGCCAACTCCTCTTTGATAACGTCGCGCAAAACAGTTTTGGACGGGGGAGGTGGATTCGGTGTCATTGAGAGGCCGAAAGATTGTAGCTCTTCCGGTATGATCGCCCGGATCATGGCACGCAATGAGGCATCAGTCGGGGTGGTGTTTTCAGCGCTGTCCGGCGGTAACCGTTGGGACTCAAGTTCCTCTAGGCGTTGGCACGTGGCAACAACGTCAGCGACTGTGGTCGGGTTTTGTATGACCAAGGAATTGAACGCGACCATGCTGATCTCTTTCAATAGATGAGGAACTCTCTCTGATGCAGACATAGACGTGCTGAAACGGTGACAGAGAGCAAGGACATCCTCTATGTACGATGTGTAAGACTCACCGCATTGTTGCTTGCGAGCATCCAGTGTCTTCTTCGCGAGCGCGGAACGAACTACTGGGGTGCCGAAAATTTGGCGAAGCTGCTGCTTGAAACGTGTCCAGTCCGTAATGTCCGTTTCATGATTAAAAAACCATGTTTTCGCTACGCCTGTCAGATAGAAAGAAACACGGCAAAGCTTGGTGAGATCATTCCAGTTGTTAGTGGAACTTGCTCGATTGAACTGGTCCAACCAAACCTCCACATCTTCACCTCGAAGTCCGGCGAACGTGGGCGGCTCACGCTGGTGCGCGGTGATAATCCACGATGGATAGGGCATGGTAGCCGGGGCCGTGTAGGTAGACGCAGAAGCGCCGGTTGGCTCGTCCTGAGGCATGTCACCGGACACCTGGCACAAACGACGACCTGAGCGGAGCTCCAGGAGGTAAAGCGGGCTGGGAGAGGACGGAAGATCGTAGAGCACACTCCACCACTTGTGATGTAACGGTGCAGGCGACCTTTATTAGGCCCAGAAGGCATGATGAAGCGACCACACCCTAGGCAAAGAACTCCGGTAAGCCAAGTCCCCACAGCAGATGAAGATGATGACCACTCATGATGATGAACATGTGTAGAGATAGTAGATGTGCTTAATGAATGCCTACAACAACAACAACAACAACAACAACAACAACAACAACAACAACAACAACAACAACAACAACAAAATAATAATAATAATAATATTAATAATAATAATAATTAATATTATTATTATTATTATTATTATTATTATTATTATTATTATTATTATTATTATTATTATTATTATTATTATTATTATTATTATTATTATTATTATTATTATTATTATTATTATTATTATTATTATTATTATTATTTTTATTATTATTATTATCTCATGTATATAGAGATACACACGGCAACACAAGAATAAAAAGAAAAAAAAGAAAAGAGCAAGCTGGCACCTTCCACTTAGATTTTTCATCGAAAGAAGGCGGTTTCGATTGCAAATATCTGGATTAGTGAAGTTTATTTTCTTCTAACCATTTAATAATTTATTTTTACTAGAAGCAAAATGTGATTCCTTCTAATTACTCGCTTCTTGGCCAATCCCCAGGAGGTGGGGGGGAGCCATGCTTCTAGGCCATCGTCATTATAATGATCATCACTTGGAACGGCACAATGCCTGCCTACTCAGCGCGAACCTAGGAGGCCATGCATTAATGCCGATTCTGTGATAGCGGTAGCGGCCAAATAAGGTTGAACGCACACGCCACCTATTACGTCATGGATTGTGGCTTTGTACGGCAACTAAACAAGCGTTATTACTCATCTTGTTCTAATGCGATTTCTTTCTCTTTAAACAAGCATTGTATAACAATTTACGTTATAAGGCACAGTGTGGACCATCCCTCTTGAGGGTATGAACCAAGATCTATAGGCGACAAAAACAAAACAAAACAAAACAAAACATGCTCCGACAACGTCAGGCAGATATGGACATGTTCATGAAATGGTAACTTCTAGAATAGCTCTCCTGTCAGTGCTTCATAAGGTCGCCACCATTGCGACTGTTCTCCTTAAGCTATATAAACAATAAAAAAAATCTAGTCCATTCAACAGGCTTGGGCTGTCCAGCAGGTCCACGAAGCAACCCACAGGATTGGCCTGGAGGTCCCAGCGTGGATGTTTCCCACTGCGTGATAGAGCGCGTCCCGCGGGGCCTCGATAGTTTTTTTTTGTTTTTGTTTTCAAATTAATAAATCAAAGAAAAGGGCGACGAAAGGTCGATCCCGCCAAATCGTGTTGCTTTATTCGGTTCGAAACATGCTCTCTAAGATACAGTAATCAAAAACGGCGAAGTAGCGTCGTGGTTCACGCCTTTTGCGATCAGCAACTGCATGGAACAAAAAGAAATAAATGAAAAAATATAACGCACTACAACAGCCATTAACGCAATGATCAAGCGAAATGATCGAGCATTCGTTTGTTCTGAGGGCACAAACACACCTACGGCAGATGAATCTCCTTTGAATTACGTATGAAAGATACATTCTTTTTCTCAGCGGAACAGAGGGGAATTTACATGCATGCAGCGTCACTTGCGGTTGCGGTGGCGTGGAGGAACTTTATATATGGGCACACTCGTGGCAGCAATTTTCGAGCTGTGTCCGCGCATGTCAGGTTGCCACATGTTCGGCCGAGTTCCATAGCGAAGAGCTTTCCCTTAGAAAACACTGAAGCTTGGTCAGCGTGCATTGTATACCCACACATAAAAAAAAGCCGACCCTACTTTTGACTTTGGTGTCCGGTTGTGGCACTGACAGGACGGTATTCTCGTGCTGAATCATTGCATAGAATCGCTCACTACACTTATTTTTGCCAAATTGGTATGCTAGTGGTTGTGAAAGAGCAGCATAAACTGACGAAGGATTAAGTTTAACATCCTTCGTATCAAATGCGTCTGCGTTTATCTTTACTTTGCGGGGCACTCTTGCATACAATAACTTTCCTAAAAAACCAACATCTTCGACGAGTTATTCGTCGTGCCACTTTGCGTGAGGCAGGCGAAAACCTCACTTTTCATTTAGTCGCGATAAACATAACAAAAAGCGAGTGCTCGCCATATCTTAAACCTGAAATGTTAGATTTGGGTGCACTTTAAAGAACCCCAGGTGGTCGAAATTTCCGGAGCCCTCCACTACGGCGTCTCTCATAATCATATAGTGGTTTTGGGACGTTAAACCCCACATATCAATCAATCAATCAATCAATCAATAAAACCTGAAATGTTATTTTGTTTATGCTAGGGCCGAGAGCGATTAACATCAGGTTGACAACATATTGAATCGCAACCGGAGTAAAAATAATTCTGACATAACACACAAATTAAGGTATAGCTGTGTAATGTTTGCTGCAAAAGGGTGTCGAGTGCCTTGAAATAACATTGTCAAAATTTGACTCAGTTGTGGCTCTCCCCATGTGGCGTTTAAAATAGGTAACCTTGCGTTTCGTCGCGCTGCACCAGCAGATCTCAAAGGCCACTCCGAAAGAGGCGTGTGGTTTAGGAATGCTCTGCCAGGTGCCACAACAATCGCAGCTGCTCGCAAGACAAGTACCCGTTCTTTCAAGGAACTCATTCAAACAATTCTGATAGATTGTTCTGCCAGTCAATTGGTTTTTACCTTGGTTACTTTATGCTCCGATATTATATTTAATATCACGTAGCTTGAACCAGACGCACAGATTTCCTATGCGTCATATTTTCTGACAAGGTTTTTCGAGCCTTCAGAGCAACGGAAGCAGGTTACCGACCGGAAGGACTTTGGAAATGAGATTTTCACTCGGCACTCACGACCGATAATTAAAGAGTGCAAAAGGCGCGGGCTTACCCTGTCGGTGGTGTTGAATGGAAGCAGGCGTCCGTTGATCTCTACGGCTGATGGCCGTCGCTTGAGACCGTACAAAGTGATGCAGGACAACAGGCGTCTTGACCTGCGCACGGGCTGCAGTGACCAGTTAGCGCTCCCTGCAAGACGTTAGTGGGTGTCATAAAAGTTAACAAAACTGATGCTTCATACAGTCACCTAACAACCGCATTAGGTTTGCGACTATCTTTTGCGCAGCTGAACGCAACAACGCCGGTTCGATTCGCATTTTTATTAGAGTGACGTGAAGAAAAAAAGAAGAAAGAACACCGGTGTATCAAAGTGCATCTAACCTCAGCTGAAAAGTGAAAGTTTCCTTACGTCTCCCCATACGCCACGCTCCCATAATCCACAGAGCTTCCTAATAACTTGTGTCTTAAGAGCTGCAACGCAAGACACCTCAGCGAGCACGCAAATGGTAGGCACTACACAAACTTGTCTAATCTTCATACTTTCGGTTCCTTTTGGCGTTGGTTGGTTTAGAGCTTCTTTGAGACGACAATCAGCAGATGTTTAGCAGTAACACTTCGCGGCCTATATTTTTGGGCTCATCAATTTAAATCAGGTCCGGAAGTTCAAAACGACATGTTCTTTTATTTGGAACAAAACACAGAGACGGCAAAAACAAACCCACAAGTACATTCGAATTCCTCAAGCACGAATACTAGGTTATAAAAAAAGTGTAGTATCCATCATTCCCATGCTTGCTGAACGATCGCAGCGCCAATGTCCACCCTAGTCAGTTTTAGGAAACTCTGTCATAAGCATCCACCTCTTCACAACCGAGAAACGACTGCGATGTGACGGCGGCTAGCTGAAGGCCACGAGTACGTACAACCAAAGAAATAAAGATACAATTGTACTCTGGGAGCAAAAATTTCCCCGCGAGGCAAGATTTGAACCCAGCTACATCCGAAGGAAAGTGACTAGCACCGCACAGCCTAAGTACTGGTCGCAAAATAGCAAGCACTGACCAATAGTCTAAAAAAAACAGAAATTGCGTTTCGGCCTTGCTACGGAGGTCTTGCTGCACGCAATAAACAAGCTATATTTTTACACTTGGCAGTATCTCCCCTTAGAACGCCAGTAAACAGTTAAACCCACTGGCTGTAGTATAGTATAGACAGTTGGGCGAGTTTTTTTGAGGATATTCTTGGAAAAAGTCGTGCTGCGGAGTGGCTCAGTGGTTAACGCCTCGGTTTCAGATTCTTAGAATATTCCGGCTCTCACAATCGACGGAAAAAAAGAAAGGACTTTCGTTTTTTTTTGTCTATAGTGTGTGTGCCGAAATGTTAAAAAGAATGTCCACTGGCTAATGTCATGAAGTCCGGCATTTTTGAAGTAAGTAATGTCTGGCACTCGACAAGAATGACGTAATGGCTCGTAGCAATACGTCATATTCACTACGAGCACCGTTCGTTCTTCGCCTGTCCTTTGTTATTTTTACCGGACCAAACTTTAACGCTAGCTTAAAGGATGGTTAGGTTTGAAAAGCTTCCAGGTACCACGTGGACAACATAGTGACCCGCTGTGTAGAGAAAAACACAGAATAAATGCGCAAAAGTGGAACATTAGCCAGAAATGCCGAAAAAAAACTGATAAAAAATTTACAAAAAAAAAAGAATTGACGCGGCTACGCAATAGTGCAGCGAAGGCTAAAAAAGCAGCGCTTGTAGTGGCCTATCCTTCGTTCTGTCCTTCCTCCTCCCCATGACATCGATACAATAAAAAAATCCACACATATCCAAATCGTGAATTTTGATGCCTGGGCGCAGCAGTGTGCGTAGGATGATGAATCTTATTCCTCTATATTGTTCGTTTACAGCCTTTTATTTTGTTTTCTGTAATCTTTGTTCTGTAGTATGCTTCGATCGATGGGTAGTTAAATGTAGATGTTTTTCTGTTGTGGTTTTTCTTCTGTTTGTTTCCCTTAACAGCCTTTCGGCGTGTGTAACGCCGTACGTACATGAACCCGTACGAACGCGTCAAAACGCGTTCCCCTCGTGACTGAAAAAAATGCGCTACAGTTGCAGCGGAGAACGAAGTCAGGGGGAAGACAAGAAGTGAAAGGGACAGTACAAACGCAAACTTTGTGTTTATTGGAGTTTATTGAAGTTTATTTTGTCTTCCCCAAACTTCGTTCTCCGCAACAACTGTAGCACAATTTTTTCTTTTTTGTCTTAAAAAAAAACAACCAGCCCAATTCCTCACTTTGCTAGCGTCCCCCTCTCCGTAGGTGTTGAACTGGTGCCAAGTAGGTCATGCTGAGCTGTGCGTTGACGCCACACTACGCTCACCCGCTTCCCTCGCAGCTGCGTGCTGACGTCACTCTCGTCCAAGTCTACTCGCTGAAGTGCGTGTCGGCAGCGGAACGGAAACTACCCACCACGTTAAGAGGTACAGTTGCATCGATCTAGTCTCTGCCAACTTCGACGTCGCGTTTCTACTGGAACCTCCCAGCGTGCACGTCACCGATCACAAGGCCGGGATAGTCACGGCGAAACGCGTGCCTGATCCGGTCCAGCGTCCGTGTCTGGACTCTGAAGAAACGACGATTACGAAGTCTTGACAAGCGCTTTAGTGAAACTTACACAGTTACACAGTTAGACAAGGAAAGCAGAAAGGTGTGTTTTAAAATGAATCTGCAGAAAACTAAAGTAATGTACAACAACCTCGGAAGAGAGCAGCGCTTCAAGTAGTAATAGTGCACTTCAAGTTGTAAAAGACTATGTCTACTTAGGACAGGTAATAACCGTGGATCCTAACCACGAGATTTAAGTAAATAGAAGAATAAGAATGGGGTGGAGCACAATTGGCAAGCACTCTGAAATTATGCCAGGTATATGGCCACTATCCTTCAAGAGGAAGGTATATAACAGCTGTATCTTGCCGCTACTCCACTACGGAGCAAAACCTGGAGACTTACAAAGAGGGTTCAGCTTAAATTGAGGACGACGCAGCGAGCAATGGAAAGAAAAATGGTGAGTGTAACCTTAAGAGACAAGAAGAGAGCAGAGTGGATTAGGTGTCACGCAGTTTATTCACGCACAGACCTACTGGAAGGCCGAGGAACGCCAGAAGAGCGAGGAACGCCAACAGGCCGAAAATACAAAACAAACGCAAGCTCGGGTCGCGCGTGCACCAACGCTGTGGCTTGCCATTTCATGCTGCTTCTTCGTCGTTCGCATAGTTCCCTACATTGGCCCCCGGTGAATAGCGTAGCCAACCTGGCGACTTAAGGCGTAGTCACTATAGGGGGGTCGTAATACGGCTTCAGGCGACTCACATGCACAATTTCTCGGCCACGACGGCGTAAGTCATGAGACTGTGTCAATGGCTCAATCTCATAATTGACGGGTGACGTACGGGCGAGAATGCGGTAGGGCCCGTGGTATCGTGCCAGTAATTTCGACGAAAGGCCAGGAGTGCTCGGTGGAACCCAGAGCCAAACGAGAGCACCAGTCGTAAAAGTAGAGAGATGTCGGCCGGTGTCAAGCCGTAGCTTCTGGTGGCCTTGGTCCTCGGTTGTCAGAGAACGGGCCAATCGTCTGCAATCTTCTGCGTACCTGGCAACATCAGAAATTGCAGTGTACTCAGAGGAGTCGGGCGTGTATGGGAGGATAGTGTCTAGCGTGCACGATGGTTCGCGTCCGTACAACAGAAAGAAAGGGGAGAATCCTGTTGTCGCGTGCGTAGCGGTGTTATACGCATACGTGACGAATGGAAGGACAGTGTCCCAATTAGTCTGGTCTGAAGCTGTGTACATCGTCAACATATCATCGAGAGTGCGATTAAATCGTTCTGTGAGGCCATTCGTCTGCGGGTGATATGCTGTCGTCAGGCGATGAACCATGTTGCACTGAGCGAGCAACGCTTGAATGGCGTCAGACAAGAAAACACGCCCCCGGTCGCTCAAAAGTTCGCGGGGAGCACCATGGCGAAGAACAAAGTTGCGCAAGATGAAAAACGCAACTTCCCTCGCGGTTGCTGCGGGTAGTGCTGCTGTCTCCGCGTAACGCGTGAGGTGGTCAACGCCGACAATTATCCACCTATTTCCAGAAGACGACGTGGGAAGTGGTCCGTATAAGTCGATACCAACGCGGTCAAACGGACGCGCTGGACAAGGCAGAGGCTGAAGTGTACCGGCAGGGCGTTGAGGTGGGACTTTACGTCGCTGGCATGCAGTACAAGCACGTACGTACTTGCGGACAAATGTGTGCATGCCACGCCAGTAGTACCGCTGACGTAGATGGTTGTACGTTTTGAGAGCGCCAGCGTGAGCGCTTTGCGGGTCGTTGTGGAAAGCAGTACAGATTTCCGAGCGCATGTGGTTGGGTATCACTAACAGCCACTTCCTACCTTCAGACGTGTAATTCCGCCGATAGAGTAGGTCGTCTCGAATAGCGAAATGTGTGGCTTGACGGCGGATAGTTCTTGACAATAAATTAGCTAACGGATCAGTCAAAAAGGCGAGGAGTTGGGAAATCCACACATCTTTGCGTTGTTCCGATGCCATGTCTGTGAAGTCGATTGGTGTTATGACAGCTGAAGAAGGTGACGAGGAGGCTGGGTCAGCCGGTAGCGGCGAGCGGGATAGCGCATCAGCGTCGGAGTGCTTGCGGCCGGATCGGTATACAACACGAATGTCGTATTCCTGTAGGCGAAGCGCCCAACGACCAAGGCGCCCCGACGGGTCTTTGAGCGATGATAGCCAGCATAGAGCGTGGTGGTCCGTAACGACTTCGAAAGGGTGGCCATAAAGGTATGGGCGGAACTTCGTCAAAGCCCAGACAATTGCGAGGCACTCTTTCTCCGTGACGGAATAATTACACTCGGCTTTCTTGAGGGTTCGACTCGCATAAGCGACCACGTATTCTTGGTGCCCTGGTTTTCGTTGAGCCAATACAGCACCAAGACCGACACCACTGGCGTCGGTGTGGACCTCCGTAGGCGCATCAGGGTCAAAATGTCGTAGAATTGGAGGTGATAATAATAACCGCCGAAGCGCGGTGAAGGATTCGTCGCACTCTTTTGACCAAGCAGAAATGCCTTT